CGCCCGAGGAGGGGGGGTGGAAAGTCGTGCACGGCGACGTCTTCCGCCCGCGGCAGCGGCCTGCCCTCCTCTCCGTCTACGTCGGGACCGGCGTGCAGGAGCTGCGCCCCTCTCCCGGCCATCTCCTCGTGTCACCCACATCCCCACGCCTCGCGGCCACACCGATCGGTGTGCACTCCCGGGCGAAGGGCCACCCGCTCTGCGCCTCGCCACCACGGCACGCCCACGACACGCCCACGACACGCCCACGACACGCCCACGACACGCCCACGACACGCCCACGGCACGCCCACGACACGCCCACGACACGCCCACGGCACGCCCACGACACGCCCACGACACGCCCACGACACGCCCACGACACGCCCACGACACGTCCTCGGCAGGTGCTCGGCATGTCAGTGGTGACGATGTGTTTCGCCGTCGCCGGCAGTCTTCCCCCCCCCCTCCGCCGCCGCCAGCGGCTCCACGCCCCTAGACTGCCCGGTGCGGCTGTAGGGTTCCTCTCTCCCGCCAACCGCGGCGCGCTCATGACGGCCCTCCTCCTCCTCTTCACCGCGATGGGCGTACTCGCCGGCTTCGTCTCCGCCCGCCTGTACAAGGCCCTCTCCGGCAGCGATTGGCGCATGACGACGCTCAAGACGGCAGTCATGTTCCCTGGCACGCCGCCCCTCGCCCGCGCCGCTGCCCCGAGACACTCGCGCACCGCCGCACCGGGATCGCTCCGCCTTCAACTCACGGAGCGCCGACCCACTCCTCCCCGGCAGGGATCATCTTCATCGTCTTCTTCTCGCTCAACATGTTCATCTGGGGCCAAAAGTCGAGCGGCGCCGTCCCCTTCGGCACCTTCTTCGCCCTCCTCGTCCTCTGGTTCGGGATCTCGGCGCGCCTCCTCCTCCTCGCGGCGGCGCGGCCCCCTTCCGACAGCCCGCCCGAGTGCGCCCCGCCCCTCCCCCCCGCCAGGTGCCCCTCGTCTACCTCGGGGCCTTCTTCGGCTACCGCAGGCCAAAGATCGAGCCGCCCACAAAGACGAACATGATCCCGCGCACGGTGCCGGAGCACGCGTGGTACACGCAGCCCGTCTTCTCGGTCCTGATTGGCGGGCTCCTGCCCTTCGGCGCCGTCTTCATCGAGCTCTTCTTCATCCTCTCCTCCATCTGGCTGCACCAGTACTACTACGTCTTTGGCTTCCTCCTCCTCGTCTTCCTCATCCTCATCATCACCTGCGCCGAGATCTCGATCGTGATGTGCTACTTCCAGCTCTGCGCGGAGGACTACCACTGGTGGTGGCGCGCCTTCCTCACCTCTGGCTCCTCCGGCCTCTACCTCTTCATCTACTCGATCGTCTATATGTCGACCAAGATGGTGATGACGCGGGGCGTCTCGATCCTCCTCTACGTCGGCTACATGCTCATCGCCTCCTACTCCTTCTTCATGCTCACCGGCGCCGTCGGCTTCCTCGCCTGCTTCCTTTTTGTCCACGCCATCTATGGAGCGGTCAAGGTAGAGTAGTAGCGCGGGCGGATGGAGAGGGGCAACGACAGGTGCAATCTCTGCGCCGCGGGGTGTGATATACTCATGTAAATTCTCGGTGCTTGTCTGCAGAACCGGCACTTACCGAGTGAAAGAAAGAAATGAACATCCGTGTAACGACTCCGGCCCGCCGGACGTTGTGCGTTCACAAATCCCGCGCGAAGCTCCGATCACACACACATGGCTGAGCTGGCCGGCGCCCAGGCGCTGGAGGCGCACCGAACCAACGAGGAGGCGCGGAGCCGCAAGGTCTGGCTCCACGCGTGGCACGACCCCGTCGCCTCGCTGCGCGCCTTTTCCCCGTGCGTGCGGCTCGCTGACCTGAACGGCGACGGTAGTGTACTGGTAGATGGAGTCACGGGCAGCCCTAGACGTGGCCACTGAGCCTGTCAGCAAGACGCGGCGAGCCCGCTTGGTGCAGTGCGAAGCCTGGCAGACACTCACCTCCGCCTCTCGGCCGCTACAGGCGACCACAAGCTTCTGGTGGCCGGGCAGGACAGGAAGCTGCGCGTGTACAAGGGGACGAACCTTCTCTCGGAGAATCTTCTGCTTGACGCACCGACCGCAATCGCCGTCTTCTATCCCGAGGCGCGTCCGCAAGCAATGACACACACACGCAGCACAGCACAGAGCAATCGTTACTCAGCCTAAAAGCAAGGCGGCAGACACGCCCACGCAGCACGATTGCAGGCGCGACGAGGCGCCCCGCCGCTCACCGCCGTCGCCGCTGGCCGTCACCTCTTCCTCTACCGCAGCCTGCGGCCCTACTACAAGTTTGTCTTGCCCGACCTCCCAATCGACCGGCGCGAGAGCGAGGCGTGGGAGGAGGTGCGCTCCGACGCCTCAGGCCTGCGCTCGGCGCTCGCCGAGGCGCGCGACGCGGGAATCGCCCTCAGTCGCCGCTCCCGCGAGCTCCTTGCAGCAGTCGACGATACGGCGGCGGACGAGATGGTGGCGTTGAGCGAAGGGGTGCCGCTGGTGCGGCACGACCTGGTAACCTGCATGGAGGCGCGCGCTGCACGCGGGCCGCCACCTCGGGCCGCCTGGCCATAGTACCTAGGCGCAGTAGCGAGGCCCAAACAGGACCCCGCCCCGCCGATCTCATTCAGGTGCTGAAGAAGAACCTCGACGAGCCGGACGCGTGCTCGATGCTGGTGGTTGGCACCGAGGGCGGGCAGGCAAAGGGACGCCCCGAATAGCCGATTACCTGGCCGTCAGCTACTTTCACGATACCACCCGTGCTCTCGCCTCTCGCCCTGCCTCAGGTCCACATCCTCGACCCGTCGGGCAAGGCGGTCGCTGAGACGCATACGCTGCCCTCGACGCCAGCCTTTCTGGCGACCGCCGGCCTCAAGGTGGCCGAGTATCGCTCTCACAGATTCGGCTCGATGTGTGTAGAGGTTTCGCTCACTCCGCTTCTCTAGGCGGTCGAGTACCGTATCGCTGCCGCCTGCCGCGATGGCAGGATCTACACTGTCAAGGACGGCGCTGTCCTTCCTGGCGCGATCGAGGCGGGGGCGACCCCGTGCGGGATGCTGCGGCTGGGCGGAGGGCTTGACAGGTGCGGTCGCCGGGGAGAGACATAGACATGCGGCGCCGCGGAATGGCAAAGCCCGGCCAAGACTCCGCCAAGAGTTCCCCCAGATTTAGGCCCAGTCTCACCGAGGTGTAGCTGCGACAGATCAACACTGTGGTGGAGAAGCGAGGTCGAGGCGCCCCTGCATCCCGCCGCCCCGCAGCCAGCTCGTCGTCTCCACCCTCGCGTCAACCGTGCACGCCTACCAGCCCAAGGGCAAGCGCTCCTACTCCATCCGCTTGCCCGAGCCTGCCACCTGCCTCGAGGCACTCGAGCTGCGGCGCACGCGCTCCGCAAAGGCGCGCCCCCCGCGACCCCGCCCCGGTCCAGCGCTATCCCTGTGCCCCTTTTGACCTCTACCCCCCCACCCCCCCGACCTCTACCCCTTTGACACCTCTGTAGCCTTCGCAGGCACTGCTCCTCGGCCTCGCCTCGGGTGAGCTCCGCCTCTACAGCGAGCGGCACCTCGTGGCGACGCTGCGCCTCGGTGAGCCGATCACGGCGATGCGGTTCGGCTCTTACGGCCGCGAAGAGGGCTCGCTGCTCGCCGTCTCAGCCTCGGGCGCGACGGCAAGGATACTGCGCGCGGAGCGGATTGCGTCTTCTCACACGGCCTTGGGCGTGAGCAGGTGCTTTGACCGTCAAGATGCTGCAGCGCAAGGCTAGTCTCGAGGCAGGGGAGAGCAGGGAGGCGCCGCCCGAGCAAGACGTGCCTCTCTCCGTGCCGAAGAAGACGCGGCTCTACATTGAGCAGACGCAGCGAGAGAGGGAGCAGGAGAGATGGACACGATGGCGCTCTCTTGCAGTGATGCTAGTGTCGTCACACCGCTGCATCGTGAATAGGCGGTAGAGATGCACCGCGCCTTCCAGAGGGACCTCTGCCAGTTGAGGCTGTCCACGGCGCCTCTGCACCAAGCTGCGCGCCACGTCCGTGGTAGTTTAATGAGACGCACATGCTGTGCCCGCCACAGGCACGCGCCTACGTCAAGCTAGCGCGGTCCGGGCGGGGCCCCCTCTCCTCCGCGCCGGGCGCCAAGCTGAGACTCGCCGCCCAGGTGCGGGGCATGGGGCCGCTATTTCGGATTCGGCTCTCAGCCCTCAGCTGCGCACGCCCAGGAGCTCTACTCGGCCTTGCCCTTTACAGTGGTGGTTGTAATAGGCTATCGCTGCACAACACCGGCGAGGAGCCAGTCGCGGACGTAGTCGTGGCATTTAGCCTCAACCCCGCCGTCTACCGCGTGCGCCAGCCGCTGCTCAAGTTGCCAGCCCTGGTGCCGGGCGTGCCGGTGCAGCTCGACGGCACCACCGCTCTTGCCTGACGGCTGGCCTCGTAGCCGAGCTCTGAGCTAGCTATGACATCCCTAGGCGATGTCGATTGCTTGCAGCCGGCGGCTGGGCCGGGCTCGGTGCGCGTCTTTGTGAGCAGCGCGCGGTCGACGCTGCCGCTGTTGTCAGCCCTCGTGAAGTTGCCCGCCGCCCAAGGAGGGCTCCTCGAGGGGTGAGCGAGCGCGGGACTGATTGATGTGCATATGTAGAATGGAGCGAGGCCCCCCTATAGACGTTCGGCGCGAGACGCGGTTGATTGGTTGTTTCTTTCTTTTTTCACTGCTTCGAGATTTCTTTTCTCTTTCATTTGCACCCACAGTGCATTCTGAGAGGAATCTAGACGGGCGTGGCACGTCCGGGAGAGAGACGGCGGAGTGTTGGCCTAGGTGTTGGCCGATATCTGGCCGATGAATGGATGGCGCGAGAGAGCGTCGAGCTCGAGGAGCGAGAGAGAGTTAGGCGCGAGCGCGAGAGACTTGCGCCCCGGCGCGGGCCGATCGGTCGGGGGAGGAGCAGACACGCCCGAAGGACGAACGTATAGGAGACGGCCTCGATGGTGGCGAGGCGGGCGCCAAGCTCCTCGCCAAGTTCGGGCTCATTGACCAAGCCATCGAGTACGCGACCGAGTCCGGCAACTTCGACCACGCCTTCGCGCTGGCGCAGGCCTCGAAGCAAGATAAGGTGCCGGAGGTGCACCTTAAGTACGCCATGTTCCTCGAGGACGAGGGCCAGTTCGAGTCGGCTGAGAAGGAGTTCCTCAAAGCGGAGAAGCCCAAGGAGGCCATCGACATGTACACGCACCAGCAGGACTGGGCCGCCGCCCTCCGCGTGGCGGAGACGTCCGAGCCGTCGTCGGTGCCGGACGTGCTGTGCGCGCAGGCCAAGGCGCTCGTGGAGAAGGGCGACTTCACCAAGGCGGAGGCGCTCTTCGTCCGCGCCAAGAAGCCCGAGCTCGCTGTCGAGGCGTACAAGCACGCGGCGCGCTGGGGGGACGCCCAGCGGCTCGCAAAGGAGTTCCTTCCCCACAAAGTGGCCGACTTGACCGCCGAGCACGCGGCCTACATGCGGGGCGACGGCGTGCACGCGTCCGAGGAGGCGCTCCTCGGCCCGGCCCGTTCTCTCGAGGAGGGGCGCGACTTTGCGCGAGCGATCGACGCCTACCTCAAGGTGACGAGCGAGCGGGCGCGCTCCCACGATATCTGCGAGGAGGCGTGGGAGAAGGCGGTGCAGCTAGCGATGAACCACGTGCCGGCGCGCATCGCCGAGGTCGTCAACACGGTCTCGAAGCGCCTGATGGGCATCGGCCGGCACCCGCAGGCGGCGGAGCTGTACGAAGGTATCGACCAGCACCGCGAGGCGGTCGACATTTACATGGCGGGCAACCTCTGGGACCAGGCCCGCTCGCTGGCGCGCTCTGCGACGCCGCAGTATGCAAAGGAGGTCGAGGTGCGGTACAGGGAGCACCTCAAAGGGGCGGGCGCAGCGGTCGACCTGGTGCAGGGCGGCAACGTCTCCGAGGGCCTCGAGGCGTACGCGCAGCGCGGCGAGTGGGAGCGCGCGCTCGAGCTCGCGAAGCAGCAGGGCCCACCGATGCTGGTCAAGTACGCGACGCTGCACGGCGCCGCGCTCATTGGGCAGCACGAGTTCGTCCGCGCGGCTACGCTGATTGGCAAGTACGGCGCTTCCGCACAGCCTGCCCCCCTCGCGATGTATGAGCGCGTGGCGCGGGAGCTGCTAGCGTCGGGGGAGCCGGACGGCGGCGGCATGGGCAAGCAGCCGCTCGTGGGCACACGCTCGATGCTGCATAAAGCGGTGGGGGCCCTGCGCGACGCGGGCGACGAGCCGGCACTGCAGCGGTTCGAGACGCTGCTCTGGGCTAGCCACATGGCCGCGGCGAAGGTCTTGGCTGCCGAGCGCGGCGCGATGGACGTGCAGCGCAAGCTGGCGATCGGGCTGCTTCGGCACGTTGCCGCTGTTCCCGCCGACATGGCCTTCTACGAGGCGGGTATGGCCTGCAAGGCCGCAGCTGATCTCAACTCCGCATTCGTTTTCCTCAACCGCTACCTCGACATCACCGAGGCGGTCGAGGAGAACGAGGCAACCTCCGCAGCGCTCGACAACTCCGACTTTGCAAACACGCCCATTCCGCACGAGTTCCCGCTGCCGGACAAGCAGTTCATCGACGGGTCGCAGATCGAGCACGTGCGGGACTACGTACTCGAGCTCTCGATGAACAAGGCGGTGCAGCAGGCGCTCGACACGGCCGACCTTGGCCATGTCTTCCGCGAGATCGAGCAGATACGCGAGGGCCTGCGAGGCGGGCGCAGCAGCAGTGGCGGCGGCGGCGGAGGTGGGGACGCTCTCTACACAATCATGCGCGACACCATCTCGCAGATAGGCTAAGGCGATAGAGGGCGCTATAAAAGATGACGAGCGCGTGCGGTGGCTTGTAATATTAAAATGATTTCGTCCACTGTTGCACTGACGGGACTCTCGCGTGTCTCTCCAGTTTGCACGCGCTGACCGCGTGTTTCGCGCGCCGGCTCGGTTGCTTGCCACTAATGTCGCGTTGTATGACTCGCGCTCGCCACTCCCGCCGCGTTTTTTTCATTTCGTTTTTGAGTTTCGCTGCTCTCTATGCTCTTGCGCTCGACTTTTACACGGCCGAACACGACCCCGTGCCACTCATGCAGTGAGAGTGCAACACAAACGTACACAGGCACGCGGCCGCCGACACGTCACGCGAGACTAAACACATCAGAGAAGAAATCAGCAGGGGCACAGTAGGTCGGCAGCGAGGCACAATAACAGTGTACATGAACGCGCCGCGTCCTACGATCCCATGAAGCTTCGCGCCATGCCTTCCATCAGCGCTCCCACGCCGAGGTCGGCGGCGACGGCCGAATACTCGGTGGGAGAGGCCTCTCCGCTCTCCTTGCGGTAGACAAAGAGCTTGCCGTCCTGGTCACGGGAGACGCGAACCGAGCCGTCGAGGTAGGAGGTTTGGAACTTTGGGCGCGGGTTGGCGTACTGCGGCACCGTCGCCTCGAGCGCGCTCCCGAGGTCGCGGGTTTGGAGGCGGAGGCCTGCGTCGAGGGCCTGACGGAGGAGCGGGACGTTGGAGCCCTTGATCTCGACCGTGTCCATCAGCAGTCTCCACGCATCGCCGAGGTTGGACACGACCGACGCCGTCGAGACGATCGCGCCGCTGACGGCGAGCGGCATGCCGCCCGAGTATCGAAGGAAGGGGAGCGCGTCCGAGAGGAACGGGACGGCTCCGGCAGAGACCTCGAACTCACTCACCACCGAGCCGCGCCCGACGATCTGCCGCACCTTTCCGATGGTGGAGATGGCGAGAGCCGCGCGGTGCATGTCGCAGAACCAGTCGTACTGTGCGGCCTGGGCGCCGTCCTCGCAGACCGCCCGGCCGGCCATGAAGAACGGGCTCGAGCGGAAGAGCTGCGTGTCGGAAAAGACGAGCTCCCACGTCCCTTCGCAGAGCGGCGAGAGCGTCGGCTCTGGCGTCGGGTTGAGCGCCTCGAGCTCGGCGACGAGCGAACGCGCGGACTTCAGATCGCTCTCCGACGCAGCCTCGCCGCGGCAAGAGCCGGCGGCAAGAGCGAGCAGGTCAGTGATGAGTGCAGCCCGGCGCTCCTTGTCTCCCGAATCACCCACAGATGTCGCCCCGGGCTTCTCGACGTCTGCGACTGTCGCAGCGTCCGCATCGATGACCGCAGGCTCGTCTGAGAATGCCTTGGCGCTGTCCGTGGTGGCCGCGATTTTGTCGGTGAGGCTCACGTCCTCCATGCAGCGCAGTTGAGCAGCGCGGCTGGGACGGAGGTGGTGGCGCGGCGGCGGACCGCCATGGACGAGGCCGAGGGCGAGCGCCGTGAGCATATGTGTATCGCACTCTGGAATCTCTCGCCACGACGGCCGGTGGCTCTCTGTTTTCTTTCTTTCCGCGGGTGACTGGGGAGCGCGGCGCGGCTCCGAGATCGCCCGAGATCGCCCGAGATCACCCGAGATTGCGCGGCGCGGCCCGAGATCGCGCACCTCGGCATATCTCGGAACCGGCGAGGTGGATGGGTTGGGAGCGAGGGAGGGGGCGCAAGTGTTCAGTGCGGTAGACGGTGAGCTAGCTCGGGGCGCATGAGCCGGACTTGGGGGCCGGACCACCCACAGTCCTTTATCTGCGTTCTCGCATATATGGAGTGCGAGGGGTATCTCGACTTTCCGCCCCAAACTGTCACTCCCCTCTCTCCCGCGGGGGCGGCGGGTGTGCGGGATGACATGTCTGTGGGCCCGAGCGCCCGAGAGCGAGATATGCCATGGACACGTGTGTCCGCCTTGCGATTGTTTGAGCACTTGAGCACTGGATAGGGTCGATTCCGCATGGTACGGGACCCCTCGATCGTCTCGCCGCGAGAGTGGGCGAGAGACTGCGACGAGCGATTCGGGGAGAGAGGCACGACGCACGAGAGAGGGGAGGGCTAACACCGACGGTAGGGTGCCCACAGGGCCCAAAAAAAGAAAGGAAAAAAGAAATGGGCCACCCCGGATCGCAGCACTTCGTGTTGGAGAGTCGAGATATTGAGAGTGTGACTAGGAGGGAGGGACGCTGGGGATTCTCTGTCGCAGGAGGTGGTGGAGAATGACCTCCAGACTGACCCGGAGAATCACCTCCACCAGCCTCCTGGGGTGTCGTGTGCCCGCTTTTTTTTATTTCTTTCCTTGGGGGGGAGGAGCAGTTATGTCGAATGCTCGTTTTTCTCGGCCCATCGGGTCGCTGCGCGCTAGACCGCAGCGGCGGCCCGCCTAGGGGGCTCAGGGCGGCCTGCCGGAGGGGTGCCCCTAATGTGAAACACCTCCGGGGGAGGCCAACTTTGAGTGGTTGTGCCGAGTACTGTTTAAGGGTTGTGGGGCTGCTGTGGGCGGTTTTGGGCGTCCCTGGGGCACCCTCTCGGAAGGGTCTGGCCCGTTGGTTCGGGGGGCGTCGCGTCTAGGGGGTGTATTCACACCTCGAAAAAAAAACCGCATACCAAACGACGCCGACTGGGTTCCGGCTCCTACCCGGATAGGGGGTCTGTTCCCACTGGCTGGCCCCTCCCAGATAGGTAGGTAGGTTGGTCTTGTTTGGCCCAAAAGGGCCCTGCAATAGGTAGGTAGCCCCTATTTTCATCTTTTTTCGCTTCGCTGCGCGGCCTGGGGATAGGTAGGTAGGTAGGGCGTTTTGGCGCGAGTCAGTGGGAACAGACCCCCTATCCGGGTAGGAGCCGGAACCCTGGGCTAGCCGACCGGCTAGCGTCCTCCGTTGCCTCGCGAAATCGGATGTCCGCCGGCAGCGCCCCGTGCTCGACCAAGGTCAAGCGCGTCTTCATCACCGGAGGCACCCACGGCAACGAGGCGTGCGGCGTCGTGCTCGCCAAGCACTTTATCAAGACGCCGCAGCTCTTTGCTGGCTTCTCGTTCGAGGTGAGTGTGCTGCTCACAAACGTCGCGTCCATCGCGTCCAACAGCCGTTACGTAGACGAGGACATGAACCGTTGCTTCTTGCAGAAGGACCTGTCCGACCCAACCAGGACCTCCACACTCGAGGCGAGGCGTGCCAAGGAGCTGAACGACGTGCTCGGCCCAAAGGGCTCGGCCGACGCAGCCGACCTGATCATCGACCTTCACAACACCACGGCCGACACGGGCGTGGCCCTCATGATGCCTCCCGGAGACGAGCTCAGCCACGCGATCGCCTCTCACCTCATCTCGCTCGACCCGAGCGTGCGCGTCTGCAACTGGAACGCCAACCAGAACGATTGGCCGATGTTGCCTTCCGTCGGCAAGCATGGGATGACCTTCGAGGTCGGCGCCGTGCCGTGGGGCGTGATGGACGGCGCCGTCTACCAGAAGACGCGCCGGCTCGTCCTCGCCTCGCTGCAGTACGTCGAGGCGCACAACGCCGCCCTCGCTCGGCAGCCACCCGGGCCGTGGCTGCCGACCTCGGTGCAGGTCCACGCCTTCGTGCGCGCCGTCGACTACCCGCGCGACGCAGACGGCGAGATCGCGGGTATGATTCATCCGGACTTCCAGGGCAAGGACTTTGAGCCGCTGCAGCGGGGCGACGCCGCCTTCCTCTCGGTCGACGGACAGACGGCCATCCCGTTCACGCCCAAGCCGCCCCCGGAGGAGGAGGCCGAGGCGGAGCAGCTGTATCCCTTCTTCATCAACGAGGCCGCCTACGTCGAGAAGAAGACAGCCTTCATGCTCGCGAGGCGCTTCGACCGGCCGGTGCAGGCCGCGCAGCTGTGAACGGCATGTATGTATACCAACGCGGTATGGGTGGACGCGAGATAGATGACGACGAACGGCGTTGTGGGAAGAAAGAATGCGGTAAATTAAATAAAAAGAAATCCTGTTGCACTCGGGCCTGTGGTGTGTGTGTATGCGGCGCGCGACTAGGCAGCAGGGTGGGCAACAGGCTGAGACCACAGCCACAGCCACCGGCGCCGAGAGCTCCAAGGCCGCGGCAGACCCTTCCTCGCGACCCTGGTTCTCAGCGCCCTCCGTGAAGGTCATCCTCGCCGCCCTCTGCGTGTTCGCCCTCGTCCACCTCGCGATGTGGTTCGTCGTCTACGGCCACATTCGCGACCGATTCGACGACCGGCTGCACGCGTCGGCGCTCCTCGCGTGGACAAAAGTCAAGGAGGTGGCCTCGCATCTGTAGCAGCTGCGTTAACACCGGTGGCGCGAAGGCGCGGAAAAGCGCTGAGCTCAGCGCGGATTTCGAATAGCGAGTGTAACGTACGTAGTGGCCAGGGAATCCGTCTGTTTGGGATTGGGTTTTGTTACTCGCATACTCTCGCTCCTGGCGCCCTTCTTCCGCTACCTCGAGACGCCTCTCCCTCTTCGGCGGTGTCGGCGGCAGCCTCCGCCCCGATGGGATGCAGCAGCCGCAGGCGCGCGAGCAGCGAGGAGGAGGGATCCTCGCACACCGCCAGCGCGGCACAGTAGTGCGAGAGCATCAGCTGCCACTCCTCCACCTCGTCGAGCCTACGGTCACTGACACGCCCCTGAGACGCGGCCCTCTCGGGTCAGGCGGGGCCGGGCCGGGCCGCCACCGTTCAAGCCGTGCGAGCCGCGCCCTCTCCCGCGCAGTGACAGCCCTGCCGTACAGCTGCAGCAGGTCCTCCGCCTCGGCGCGGCCCCAGCCGGCAGCCTCGCACCGCGCCACCTGAGCGGCCAAGTCGGGGCAGTCGCGCAGCCCGAGGAGGGGGATACCGCGCCGGCGCAGGTTCTCCAGCATCGTCCGCCCGAAGGCGTCGTCCGGCCGGATCTGCTCGTAGGCCAGGAAGGCGGCGCAGCGACTCCGCGAGGCGAACCACGCGAGCAGCGCGGCCGAGGCGGGCGCGGGGAGGTAGACGAGGCAGCATTCGGCCAGCACGAGGGTAGGCGCGGCCGGCTCCCACCCCGCTGCGCTGAGGGCCGCCTCAAGCTCCGCGGGCTGCCTCACGTCTGCCGCAGCGAGGTGGTAGCCGCAGCGAGACGCGACCCCGCTCGGGCCGACGCAGCGCGACCCTTCGGGGAGGGCGGCAAGGAGCGACGGGCGCGCCGCGATGAGCGCTGCCTTCCGCTCCACCACCTCTGCCTGGTCGAGCTCGATGTAGCGCCTGGGCCGCGAATCTGCGTCGGCGGAGAGCGTCCAAAAGCGGGTGTCGAAGCCGGCGCCGAGAGAGATGATCTGCGCCTCGCGAGGCCCGACTGCGTCGAGGAACTGCGAGACGACTGACTGGATCACCGCGACGCGCAAGTGGTGGCCGCGGTTGATGAGCGGCCCCGGGCGAGTGCACTCGCCCGTCACAAAGCACTCGGCGTACGGGTCGGAGTAGTAGCCGGCCCGGACAGCTGCGAGCTTGCCGCGCGCCGCCACTTCCGCCGTGCCGGCCACCCCAGTCAGCGGCATGGTGCGGGGGCCGGGATTCTTACTTTCTTTCGCCGGTGTCTGCTGTTCCTAGCGGGATAGGGGGTCTGGCCACACCTACCTGTCCCCAGGCCGCGCAGCGAAGCGAAAAAGGATGAAAAGGGCGAAAATAGGGTGGGGTACCTACCTATTGCAGGGCCCTACATGGGCCAAACAAGACCAACCTAGGCCGTCCCGTTTTGATCTCTCGGTGAGTGGGGGGCTGGGGGGCCGAGCCGCCTCGGGGTGGCGGGCGGGCGGGCGTTTTGAAAAACAGAAAACAGAAAACAAGAGGGGGCCCGGGGGCCCAGGACCCCACTGGGAGTAGAAAATACGACGCCCAAGTGTGTGTGTGAGTGTGTGTGAGTATCACACACACACACACAAAATACGCCCAAGGGGGCCAAGGAGGCGGCGGCAGCATCAGGTGAGAGCAGGAAGGATGGCGCTTAGGGTCGGCTTTGAACAAGGGTTTCCAGGTATTAGATCAGTATTGGTGTCGGCACACATCCCCACATGAAGGTCAGCGGCGCGCAGTGCCTCTCTCGCACTTGGAGCACTTGGAGTGCAGTCGGTAACCTCACATCCAGGGCCGGGGAGCTGAGGAGCGCACCCAGCGGGCCGGATGATCGGTATCGGGTTACGGGCTAGAGAGCCCTAGCCCCGGGGGTGCGCGTTCGCAGGGCAAGGGCCGTAAAAGTACAGGCTCCACAGGCCCCAAATGACGTGTGAGTGTTAGAGTTGTTTGGTATTGCTAAAAGTAAACACGGGTCTCCGAGGGTTGGCCCCGCGTACCGGGTTTCCCCTTAACTGCAGGACGCCCCCTCTACTCGGAGGCTGACGTGTTGGCTGTTTTCGAGCTTGTTTTTGTTTTCAGACTAGGGGCCCGGCCCCCTTAGAGCACAGAGGGGGCGGGCGGGCGCCCACTCACCGAGAGATCAAAACGGGACGGCCCTACCTACCTACAATATCTGGGAGCAGGGAGGGGCCAGCCAGTGTGGACAGACCCCCTATCCGGCTAGGAGCCCGGGCCCAGGCTTGTTTTTAAGAATTCTTCGTTGAGATCTTGTCTCTCTAGGACCATGTGGAAGACGGCTAGTGCTAGTCCCCCATCGGGAGGGGACGACCCCGGCTAGTCGCCGACCACACCCACAAAGAACCCTGCACAAAGATCGCAAGGGCGGGGACCTGTTCCTTTTTACCCATCTCACAGTAGAGGTGTCCGTATTTATTTATTTTTTTATTTGTCTCTCTAAAAAAAGAATTTGGCGCTCCGTGGATGTCCCGCGCCCCGACCCCGTGTGCCAGAGAACAGCGCCCCATGCGCCATGGAGCGGAGGAGGAGAGAGAGGGAGATATTTTAGAACACGAACACGGCCAATTCGAACGGCCACACCACTGCCGCGGCGTAACGGCTAACGCGTAAGGAGAGTGTGTCGCGTAAGTGACTCTTGCCACGCAAGAAGCTCCCGACTTGCGCACGGGCTCTCGTTGGAGGCGTGCTCGGCACGGCATCACTCTAAGCTGAAACGCGCCGAGACGCCGAAGATGTCCACCTGCGAGATCAGACGGCGAGGCAGCGAGGCTGCGGAGTCGGGAGCAGCTCTGAGGCTGCGGCGTGTGTGGCGAGCGGTGTGAGGAGGGGGGGGAGCGAGCTGGGAGGCGGGCTCTCGCCTGCGTCCCGCCCGCGCCGTCGTGCGAGCTCAACGCGGTGGTTGCGATGTTGAGGAGGAGGCGGACGACGTTCAGGTAGAGCTCCCTCTCGAGGTGGTCCGGCACCATCGCCAGGTTGATGTCCCGCTTCTGCAGCAGCCGGTCGACCATCGAGCCGAACCGCTCCTCGAGAAAAGCGTCGTCCCAGCCCGCGTTGGTCGGCGGCGCGCCCTTGGGTGCGTGAGCCACCTGGGGCAGCATCCGCACACTCCACGTCACCTCGAGGCCCAGCATCGAGACGAGCCTAGTAGTAGTGAGCAGCCTCTTCGAACACCGCCCAACGCCACCTCGAGGCCCAGCATCGAGACGAGCCTAGTAGTAGTGAGCAGCCTCTTCGCACACCGCCCAACGCCACCTCGAGGCCCAGCATCGAGACGAGCCTAGTAGTAGTGAGCAGCCTCTTCGAACACCGCCCAACGCCACCTCGAGGCCCAGCATCGAGACGTGCCTGCCCGAGGCGAGCATGTCTGCAGCCAGCCGCAGTGCGAAGCGGACGCAGCTGACGTAGAGCGCGTGGTCGACCCGCTGCGAGATGATGGGCGCAGCCTGCGAGGAACTCGTCCGCGCTGCGATCGCCTCGATCATCGCCGCGTCGAGAGCCAGACCCGAGTGCTTGAGAGCGGCGACGGAGCTGTGCGACTGCTGCACGGTGAGCGCTCTGCGAAAGAAGCGCGAGCCGTCCAAGTAGCCGAGGCACTCCTGCAGCAGGTGCAGGACCACCTGCACGACCAGCACGTACGCTGGCCGCTCTAGCGTGTCGGGCAGCAGCGCATTGTTGACGACGCTGTCCGTCGCAAGCACCTGCGCCAAGCGTGCAGGCCGCCGTCAGCTTCGCACGCCGCACCGCCATCGCCACTCCGCCGCACTACGCGGCGGCATCTAGTACCCCGGCACATCGTCAACATACGCCTCTATCAACTCGAGAGGCACGACCGGCTCCAGGGGCGGCCTGGGGTCAACTTGCGGTGCGTCTTTCGCCAGTGCCGCAGCCGCGTCGCCGCCGTCGACCGAGAGGCGAACCGGAGAGCCTGCGGCGCGACGAACGGTTGGGTGATGACCAGCGGCGTCTAAAAATGGAGTGCAAGGCGTACACGAGTGTCCTAACGGCGAACCGATTTGCTCGAGCCCAGCATTCAGCAGCCGACGCGCAGGCTCAAGCGCTGGCTTGAGGGGTGAAGCGCCGCTAAAGGGGCTTGGTGGCCGCGCTCGCGCACATAGCCGCCTCGCGTGCTGCTGTCTGCCCGCGAAGAAGCGGCCGGCTCGGGGCAGCATCGCCGAAGTCCATTTTTTGCGCGGAGCTCAGGGTTTGGACTTTCTGGTATGGTATGGTAGACTATACAACCCACCTCGAGACCATACCCCCCGCCTGCTGACAGACCCAGCCTCCCGGAGACCGGGGATGGCGGTCAGGACCATACCCCCCCACCCTTTGGGCTGCGAGGGTACCATACCATACCCCGGAAAAAGTTGGAACCCAGCGTCCGCGATTCCTCATCGTCCGTGTGTGAAAGCTGGCGAGCGCTTTTTCTTAAAGATCGCTCGGTAGACATCGCGGAAAAATAGAGGAAAAGAGAAAAAACAACAAGTTGTACAAGTATTTCTTCGCAACGTACCCGGCGGCGAATTCTTTTTCGAGCCTCTCAGCCGACTCAGCCGACTCAGCAGACTCCGAGCAGAGAGCCGCCCCCTCCTCAGCAAGCCATGGTGCAGTTCACCGCCCCCCTTGTGGGCAGCTCCTGTGCCGACTGCCCCGCGACGGTGAGCTCCGGGCGCCCGTGGAAGGCCGTCGGAGCCGCTGACGGCGCTGCGTCGCTGCGCTTCGACCACAGCGCGAAGCCCGGCAACATTGTCGAGGTTGTGATCGGGCGCAACGTGCCGAACCACTGCACGCCGCGCGCGCCACTCGCCGGCGAGCAGGTTCTGTGCGGGAGATGCCAGCAGGCGCGCTCCAAGAAGGTGCCAGACGTCGTCGACCTCTCTCTCCTCTTCGACGCCCTTGACGTCCCCGCAAGCGGCGTGGCGTGGGGCGGTTGTGCATCCCTCCGGGCCCCCCTCTGCGCCGGGCGTTGTCGGAGGCTAGGACGCAAGCGTCTGTCGCCCTTTTCAAACTCGGGGCCCACTCCGCTGCGCTCCGACCCGAATTTGGAGGGCCCTTGGCTAAAAGCTTAAGGTGTTGCTTGAGCACTTGAGCACTGGATAGGGTCGATTCCGCGTTTTACCAAAACCGAAACACGAATCTCCAATCAAAAGGGATGAAATCCCTTATGGATATAATCGCCCAATTATCTCAGGAAGATAGTGTGAATGCCCGGGAACAGCCCCTCCTGGCCCGAGTGCGGGGCGCGAGCTGACGCGCCGAGGCGCCGGCCAGTCGCAGAGCCGTGAGGCATGCCACAGCAGCAGAGGCACCTGCCACCCATTGGGCGGGCAGACAGAAGGCCAGCGCAGCACTGGCAAGTGCAACGCGCTCACCTGTCGGAGAGCGACCGCGCCTGGTTCGCCGCTTATGATGTAGAGTTTGTTGTAGAGATTTCACGTTGTAGAGCGCCTCTACCGTACATCGCTCTACAACGCACGCAGATCGTCCCGCGGCGGATGTAGAGCTCTACAGCTCTACAGCGCTCTACAGCTCTACAGCTCTACAGCGCTCTACACTCTACATACATCCTCTACACCCTCCCTCAGCACCCTATATGTCTTGCGCGGTCAAAATTCTTAGCTGCCCAGCCTGTGAGGTTGAGAGAGAGATTTTTGAAAACCAACAAGAAATCACGACTGCACGCAGTGATTTGGGCTCGGCAGCTTGTTAGCCTCCCTCAGTCAGCCGAAGCTGGGGCCGGTCTTCTCTTTCTTGTGAGGTTGCCGACCGCACCCAAATCACTGTGTTCTGAGATGAGAGTCGTGATTTATTGCGATCATTTTTTTTGAACGGGGGAAAAGAAATTTGCAAACTTGTGCGCCCGGGGCGCTTGCTAGCTTTCGTTTCCGCGACGCCGCCCTCCGCGAGGACAAAGTCGCCTGGCGAGTCGTCGCCAGGCGGGCCCCTGGATCCCGCGATGGACTCTATCACGCGGGTGCATGAGGACCTTCGCGAGGCGACCGACATGATGCGCGAAAACCTCGCGCAGGTCGTGGACCGCGGAGAGCACCTCGAGCTGCTGGTGGACAAGTCGGACGGGATTTCGAACCAGGCGCGTCAATTTCAGAAGCAGAGCACGGGGCTGCGGAAGGCGATGTGGTGGAAGAATGTGCGCAGCATGCTGACGCTGGCGGGGAGCCTCGTCGTGCTGCTCATGCTGGTGCTCGTGTGGCGGTGCGGCTTCTCCCTGTCTCACTGCAAGTCGTCCCCGACGGGCGGCGCCGCCGCCTGACGGCCGGCTCTGGAGCGGCCGAACTCGTCTGCACGGGCGCCGGCGAATTGACTCAGCTGACATCGTCACCTCTGTGTGACCACTCTCCGACACGCACACGGTCACACGGACACGCGCGGCGCACGCTTCGAAGGACTCGTGTGCCTGATTTAATTTGGGGGAGAGAGACATTGTTTGGCACACAGACAACACACACCTGCGGGGCAGTCACACGCGTACGACCTCACAAGATCTTCTTCCCCCCTCCTGTCATGAGCCGGAAGAGCCGCTCTGTCTCTCCCACCTTGCGCCCCCCCGGCGGCAGCTTCCGCTCGGCGTTCGGGTCGAGCTCGCCCCGCGAGATTTGGAGCGCCACCTGCACGGCCAGCGCCGCCTGCCCCACCGAGGCGATGCTGGTGACGCCGGTGCCCAGCCCGCCTGCCGTCCGCCGAGGGGCGAGGCTCGCAAGGCAGGAGCCGCGGCCGCAGAGAGGGCATCGCGCGAGGAGAGCGCGGGAGGAGAGGCGCGGGAGGAGAGGCGCGGGAGGAGATGGAGAGGAGGGGAGGGAAGGGGTGGAGGGCAGCGGGCAGCGGCCGGCACCCATGGCGATGACGACGACGCGCGCGAGTCCCGTCAGCCTGTTGACGTAGTAGATGGACGACTCGACGTCGTTCGCCGCAAAGTACGCCGCCGCCGCGTTCGTGAATTGCCACGCGAGCACCGCCACGACGGCGTACGAGCCGGCGCCGATGAGCAGGTCCGTCGGCTTGATGCCGTTGAGGTCGATGGGCGCCTGAGGCCGCGGCGGGCCGACGGGAGGCGCGCGCTCAGTGACCTCCTGCGCCGCCGCGCGGCACGACGGCCCTCAGAGGCTTACCTTTGCAGGCGGCTCCGCCTTTGGCTCTGGCATGAGCGCCTGGATCTCCTCGAGGAGCTCCTGCGTCTCGCGCGCCTTCCGCGTCTCCTGCTGCTGCTGATCGGCCGCGCGCGCCTCCGCGGCGTACTCCTCCGGGGTCTTGAAGCTCGCCGTGCCCGCGTCGCGGTTGAAGCGGACCTTCAGCTCATCGCGCGCATCTGGCAGCTCGTCGCCGTAGCCAGCGGCGGCAAGCCGGCCAGCCCGGCCCGCCACGAGAGGCACCAGCGGCGCAGCGCGGCCGGGCGACAGCGCGATCGCGCTGGCGGAGATCAGCGGCAGGCAGAGCATAGACACAGACATATAAAAATCAGCCAGTCAGTGGCCCGATCACGCGGAGGAGATGGCTCCCATGCTCCCAGGCGTTTTACTTTCTTTTGTGAATCTTTTTTATTTGTTCGTTTTTTATTGTCCCCTTCCTTAAAGAATGAGACTGCGCGCTAGCCCGCGCTCTCGGCACGCCATGCAAAGGAGACGCGTCCTGCCAAAAACACAGATCTAGGCCTATGCCCTTGCGCCGCGCCGCGCTCCTCGCCGCTGCCGCCGTGTCCGTCGCCGCTCTCCTCGCGTGGCGTCGTCGCCGGCGCGTGCACCTCATGCGAGAGCTCTGCCGGCGGCTGCCCAAGGCGGAGCTGCACTGCCACCTGAGTGGCTGCGCGCGACTCACCACGATCGCGGAGCTCGCGCCGGCCGGCGTGGACACCTCCGCGCTCCTCGTCGGCAGCGACGACGACCGGTCGCTCGACGCGTGCTTTGCCATCTTTGCCGCCATCCACAAGACGGTGACCTCGCTCGCCGCCGTCGAACGGATCGCATGGGAGGTCCTTTCCGACTTTGCTGCGGACAACGTGAAGTACCTCGAGCTGCGAACGACGCCACGCGTGCTCGACGACGCAGACCTCGAGGGCTACGTCCGCGCGCTGCTGGGCGTGTGCGCGCGCTTCGACACGCACCAGCAGGGGCACCCCGAGCTGGCTGTGTGGCCGATGACGACGCGGCTGCTTCTCTCGATCGATCGCACCGGTGGCCTCGACAAGGCGATGGAGACGGTCGAGCTCGCCGCGCGCTTGCGCGCCGAGCCCCCCTCCGGCGCCGACAAGTACATCGTTGGCCTCGACTTTAGCGGCAACCCGACGCGCGGCACGTTTGCCGACTACGTGCCTGCGTTCGAGGCCGCGCGCGAGGCGGGCCTCAAGGTCGCGGCCCACGCGGCGGAAGTGGACCACCCCGCCGACAACGCGAGCATCCTCCGCTTCCGGCCGGAGCGGCTCGGCCACGCGCTGCTGCTCTCCGCCTCGGACGTGGCCTCGCTCCGCGCGTCTCCGATCCCAATCGAGCTGTGCCCCACGTCGAACCTGAAGACGCTCAAGCTGCGGTCGATGCGCGACCACCCGACGATGGGCGTGTGGCTCGCCGAAGGGTACCCCGTCTCCATCTCCACCGACGACTCCTCGGTTTTCGGCACGAGCAGCTCCAAGGAGCTCGCCCTCGTCGCGGAGGCGCTCGGCCTCGCGGCGCACCAAGTCGTGCAGCTCGCCCTCGCGCCGCTGCAGCACACCTTTGACGCGTCGACGCAAGGCGTGGAGCCTTTGCGTCGCGCCTTTGAGAGGGAGAGCGCAAAGCTGCTCGCCGAGCAACGAGCACGTGGGCTATGACGTACGCAATGTGTTTTCTTTTTCGTGAAGCCAATCCTTTCACCCTGGTCCCTCGTGCGAACGACACGCACCACACAGCGTCCACACAACGCGTCGTGTGTGCAATGCCCCGTTCGAATGCCCCGTGTGTTCGCGCGAGGAGAGTGTGCGAGGACTGGGTCCCCTGTCTCCCCGCGTGCGGCTCTCTGCGGGTCATGGGGGTCACCGGGTCACCTCAGCTGACAACAGCTGTGCGTGCGTGCGTGCCCCGTCGTCGAGGCCGCGTCGTATATCTGTGTAGGATCTAGGACCGTGCGTGTGACACTGACTCCCTCTGACTGACTGACTGAAACGCGAACCAACAAAACTCGAAGACGGACACTCGGACACGGAGGCCGTGGGCGTCACTCGGACTCGCTCCCAACGCCGCCGAAAAGCGCGATGGTGTGTTCAGTCTGACGCCGAGGATTGAAGATCCCTCACACCAACGCAAGGTCGTGCAGGGCGGGGACACATGAGCGGCCGCACATTGCTCGGTACCCCCCCTGCACTTCTAAGCCCGTCCCTGCTGCTAGGGGGGGGTCTGACCCCCCCAGCAGCAGAGCTCTGCTGCTGGGGGGGGGGTCAGCTCTGCTGCTGGGGGGGGGGCGACCCTGGGGGGGGGGGGGACCCCCCCCCAGCACGGGCAGGAGCAGAAAAAACTGGAACCAGGTCCCGGCTCTTTGCCGGCGCCGCCCCCCTGGGTGGGCCATCGCGAACCCCCTATGATTATCGGAAGCTCTCCCCCCGCAACAAAAAAGTGGGGGTCTTCCCACAAAACAAGCAACCCCACCGCCCCGAAACGGGATGATAACCAGAGGGGTACTCCCCGAGGTTGAGCGCTGCACGCGGTACTCCGGGGGGTCCCAACGTCCAGCAAAACTCGGGGTCAGAACGGCGCGCCCAAACAATAATCTCATCCCCCAATGATTGCTGGCCTGTGGCGTATGACCCCCCGCGGATATCACCCACAACCAGCATGCGAAGAAAGGGAACCCTATCTG